ATGGATTAAGTAAAAGATTATTAGGAAAATAGAAGTTTAAAAAGAGAAGTTGCTTAACCAAGCAGGGAAAGAAGTACTAATTAAGGCAATGATTTAGATTATTCCAACATATGTTATGGCTATAGTTAGGTTTCCCAAAAATTTTATGCCTCCTTTGGACTTAAATTATAAAATTTTAGTAGAGGAAGTTTGGTAAAAAATAAAAAATTCATTGGAAAAGAAGTTAATCACTATTAGTAAACGATAAGGTGGGACAAGCTTTAAAGACCTTTATGCACTAAAAGTTGCACACCTAGCTAAAAAAGCATGGAGAGCCATTAATAACCTAAAAGCATTATGTGTTAAAGTATTAAAAGAGATTTATTTTCCTAAAAAAAATATACTTATAGTAGAAGAGTTAGAAATGCCTTATGGTTTGGTCTAGCTAGCTACAAAGGAGAGACTTATTGAACAGACATGGAATGTGACTAGTGGGAGATAATATGTCCATTGATACAAAAAGAGATAGATGGATTAATTTTGATTTTGATTTAGGTTTTATTTTAGACAGCACAATACAACCTATCTTTTTAAAGGTGGGATAACTCATAAATCAAAACACTTGGAGTGGAGTGTACATAATGTAATAGATGCACTAGAAGACAATCTACCTATTGAAGTTCTCAAGACATCCATCAGATAGATGAGATTAGATGAGTTCATTTGGCCTCACACTAAGTCAAGATACTACACAATTAAATTATACTACTATTTAGTTAAGCAAGATCTTTTCGCCCATATACCAACAATTTGTTCTTGTAGAAGCTTCCTTTCTTTAAAACTATATTATGGGTGCAAAAATCTCTCCAAAAGTCAAGATCTTTATATAGAGAGTCTATCATAATTCTTTGGAGGTTAATGATAGTCTAATTAAGAGAAAATTTGTATCATTTAGCATGTGCCCTATTTGTAAGGTTTTTTTAGAGTTTATAGTACATGCTCTACTTCTTTGCCCATGGACAACCCTAATTTTGTTTCGATCCTAATATCAGGTAATCCTAAATGACTCTAATTTGGTAAGCATGGACACCTCACTCTAGGAGGTATTCTCTAAACTTTCTCACTATTCTAAAAATCACTACCAAGTCATAGCACATATTTATTTTTCCCTATGGTTCATTTTATTGAACCTCCCCTAGCTTTTTATGAAAGTCCATAATAAGATTTACTCCTTCATGTAGGATCTAGGTTAATACACTCCCACACAGAAATTTAATATATCTCCCTTTCTAAAAAATAAAGTGCAACATAAATGTACAATTTAACAAGCAAAAAAAAAAAAAAAGATTGGCTTAGGTGCTATTATGGTAAGAGATAAAAATGAAAAAGTCTTTACAGGGCATAATCCTCTTTAATGGTTGAAGCTTATGTAATGAGAGAAGTCATTTCATTAGTTGTTAATCTTCGATGATCTCATGCCTTCTTCAACTCTAATTGTTTGGATCTAGTCAAAGCTTGTAGAAAGGAAAATGATCACAAGAAAATAGTAGGTGATATTATTCAACGACAAAGCCAAATTCATAGATGTGGCTTTGTTTGGACCAATAGAGAAAGGAATAAGGTGTTCATTTAGTAACATCTCTCAAGTTAAGGAATGTTCTATGTAACACCCTTCTTTTTATTGCCTAAGATTTTGGAAAAATAAAAATTATGGTGCATAATTTCTCCCTATAGCGAAAAAAAATTCCAGACCAAGCTCTTTAAAGAATTCTCATTGTAGCGAGAAGTAGATAAGGATGACTCAACTGTATTTTTGCTGTAGCGAGAGAAATTTTTTATGTAACGAGGATTTCTCATTGCAGCTAGAATGACAGACAGCAAAAGAAATATCATTTTCTGGTTTTCTTGTTGTAGCGAGGAAGTCGTGAGTTTGAGAGGTATTTAAGGAACTTCACGTTGAAAACCTTCATTTCTCACCAAAAACTTCCCCTTATCATTCTCTCTATTCTCTTTGTTCTCTCCCTCTCCCTTCTTCAAGAAAGCTCCTCTAACCCAGAATCTCTCGAATTTGAGTTCTAATGTTTATTCCACTCGAATCCAAGTAAATTTTTGGATATTAGCTCGAGTCTCATTTCTATTTCTCTTTCCTATCTTTATAATAGTACTTTATTTTGCAATGTTAGGAAGAACTCTAGTCAAAATGTGGAGTTTCTGTCCAGAGATCACAAAGAACTTAGTCTCAAAGATCTATTTCCAGGTAAGGGGAGTGATCTTGAACTTTAGGTTCCATTTGTGTGTTTGGTCTGAAAAACTTGACATACCTTATTTTGAACAATAAATCTAAAGTATTTTCTTCAGAATATAACATAAAAATAAATTTTTGGCATGAAAATTTATGGTTAGATCTAAGAATTACTTAAATAGAATTTTATAATAACAGTTATAAATAAAAATTGTTTTAAAAAATTTTCATAGGCAAGTTACTCAGTGGGTGTGTGAGTGAGAGATATATATTGTTAATGTTGTAAATTAGTATTTTTGAACAATGCATATAATAAATGATGAAAAGATAGAATTTTTGAACTTTATGATATAAGACTTAACTAAGAACGAGAGAGTGTGATCTTCGGCAAGATGTTTATAAACTGCGTGATTGGTTTAAGTCTAGAGTGCATTGTATTGAATTGTGTGATGATGTGTTTCTTTGTTTTACCAACATGTGCTTGAGTGAGATTTGAACTATCATGAAAAGTTGATATATATTGATTGCTGAATTTATGTTTAAAGGGTTTTATTAGTGAAAAGTGACGAATAAAGGGCTAATGTGCATATGTGTACATATAAATTTAAGTTGTTTATGTGGTAAAAGTGGAAAGATAAATGTTGATAAATTATGTATAATGTGAAATGCAGATAAATGTGTGTCATGAGAAAAATGTTGAGAAAGTATAAGAAAAAGAGAATGGAGTAACTGATATATGTGTCATAAAAACACCAATTGGTACAATTATGACATGTGTGTTATAATATATCAACAAGTGACATTATAACACATATGTCGTAATACATTAATTAATGTGATTGTAACACATGTATTGGAGTAGTACTGATTGGTGAAAATAATATGATTTTGGTGTACTACTGTTGAGTTACTGTATGGATAATTCAGAAATACACTGAAGGTATAGAATCCGGAGGTAATTTGGGAAGTTTGGAGAAAATGAGAGTGATGAATGCTAATAACTTATGTGTGCACAATTGGTAGCAAAAGCATTCATAAGGCTTTACACTCATTTTCTGATTGATCTCCTAACTATACCATTGTTATGAATACCTAATAAAGCACATGTTGTATTCGTGTATGGTAGCGGATGACGACTATTCATGCTAACGTAAATACATCATAATTAGAAAAAGTATGTTGATAACGATTTAAGGGTTAGTAGTACCTAGAGTACTCTTATCTGATAAATATTTCAAAATTGAAATGATTAGAATGACATAAGTTTAGATATTTAATGATGATGTTAATTGAATAAGAAACTAAATATGTTGAATAAAAGAAACATAAATTGTATTTTATTGAGTAATAAATGGTGTATGTGAATGTTCTCTATCTGATTAGAATGGTTTTACAAAAAAAATATAATGTGATACATTATGTATTAGAAAACATTTTTTTGTAATGTTTCGACTATTTTATAAAATGAAAATTTAATGGGTGAAAGAAGCTCACCTTTACAAATAATTTCAGGTAAAGAAAAAATGAATGAAGATAGATTCGTTCTAGGATAATACTCGCACGAGACTATAAAAAAAAGAACTGCTCTTTTAAAATTAATTATTTTGAGAAATGTAATTATATTAATTGAATTTATAATTAAAACTTGAAATATTTTGATAAACCTATTGTAAATAATGATTCAAAATTTATATTTAATATTTAACATATAATTATTTAAATTTTAATTTATATTTAACAATATATAATAAAATTTTAACTTTTATTCTAATTATAAGTTTAAATTATGAATCTCTGCTATTTTTATCTATTCATAAGAATTTTGTACGGACAAAATTTTAAAAATTAGTTAACTTCTATCAATTATATATATATATATATATATATATATATATATATAATTTTTTAAAGCTATTTAAAATTTTTATAATTTTTACTAAGTTTTACTCAAATATACATATATTCAAAGAAACAAATTTTAAATTATAATATAGATGAGTTAAAACTAGATTTTCTTTCTTCGTCTACCTCTATCCCAAATCATCATAGCATACCAAAATATCATTACTTCACCTAAAGAAAAAAATAATTATTCACTGTCAAGAGAACAAGGAAATTTTTTAATATTTTTATTTGTTTTTTTTTTTACGACAAGTTAGAGTTTTTAAATTTATCTTTAAATCTATTTTAGGTACATGTAGTTATATTATCTATTCTTAATGGTATTTTTAAACTTTTCTATTCTCTTGTTTATTATTGGACTAGAATTATTTTGGGCCTTAACTTCTTTTAATAAGCATTTTGGATAATTTTTTTAAAATATAATAGACTATTGAGAAATTAATACATTAATGGTTGATTTTTTCAGTATTCTTCTAAAATTAATAGTAAAGATGGGAAGATATTAGAAAAAGACAACCTACACACCAAAATCTTCCTAACTCTAGAGAAATGAGGTGAAAGGGTTAAATTGTTTTTTAACAATCATAAAATTAATTAAATTGTTATTATTATAAATATTTGATATAATTTATTTATTTTCATTTAAAGTACTTTTTAAAAAAATATTTATATTTATTCAAATAGTACTTTTTCATTAATGTAAAAAAAATAAAAAAAAAAACAGCCCTGAAATTTGTGACCTTATTGTGCCTTAACAGTAGTCCCGTCAACGAGAGAGATGGAACATTCTAGACCCAATTGTCTCCCAAGAAAGTTCGCGATTTGCCGCGAAACTCAGCAATTTTTAACTACCAAACAAAACGACAACGTCTTCCCCACGCGGTTCATTCATAAAGAAAAAAACCAAAAAAGGATTGATCGAGAGAGAGGTAGAACAATCCAGAACCTATGCTTTCACGCCATTTGTTCCCTCCTATATAAACTTCCCTCTTACGCCTTGAGTCTCAGAAGTAGTTCATTCTCTGCAATTCGTTCTTTCACGTTCTGCGTTGCGCTTTCTCTACGGTTATCTTTGTGAGTCTCCATGGCAGACGCTGAGACCTTCTCTTTTCAAGCTGAGATCAACCAGCTTCTCAGCCTCATCATCAACGCATTCTACAGCAACAAGGAGATATTCTTGCGTGAAATCATCAGCAATGCCTCCGATGTAAGCCTCCTTTATCCCTGACTACAAAGTTTCGTGTTTGGTTTCCTGATTGGAGAGTTTAAAATCTTAGTTTGAATCTTACTTTGGGTCTTTTGTAGCTTCTCAAATCAATCAGAATCACTCCCTTATACTGTTTGCGTAGAAATACGTCGTAGAAATTATAACCAATAAAATTAAGGTCACTATTAATTCATGTTAATTTAATAGTGAATCTAAAAATATTGTAAGTGTGTGTTAGAATCCACGTCGAAATGACGATAGTAAATTCATGTTCATTTCAGCGGAATTTCTAAGTCTATGCGATTTTATAGTATTTTTAAACATGCAGTGTTGCCGGTATATAAAGTTAAATATAATTAGCTTTTATATTTAATATTATTTAATGTATTAATAATATTAAATATTATAAATTTTTCTATAAAAGTTTACTTTATATATTTTTTATCGGATCAGAAAATTCCTTTCTCTAATAATGAAAAATAAGGTCCGAATTGATTTGATTGATTAAATACATCTGTTGCGAAGTAGTTTTATTATTGTTTTGCCCGCTGATTGATTTGACATAATGGAGGAGAAAGGAAAAATATAAATTTCGATTCAATGCTCTTTCTTACATGGATTTGGGAGATTTGGAAGGAAAAGTAAAATAAGATCTTACTTTGATGTCTTTACGATAGTGGTAAAGGAATTATTAAATAAAATGTTATTATTAACATGTTAAATATATTAAAAATTAGGATTATGGTAATTCGTGTTCAATAAAATTAGTATTTTATTTAAAATCGGATTATATTAAAAATTATATTATATAAAATTGTATCAATGATATTTTTTAATAATTTTTGTTTCTATCAAGTATTGTTTAGCATTTTATTAATAATAATTTTTAATAAAAATATATTTCCTTTAATTTTTCAAACACAACTTATAACGGTTTTCATAAATCAGTCAAGGAAAAATATTCCTGTCTTCTTATCTTTTGATCATATGGGACTATTATCCGGTAACTAAACATGCATCAAGAGAGCAATTATTTCTTAATTTATGCTAAACTAAACATGCACTTAAATAACTCATGTATTTATTGAAGTTTAACGTTGGAATTCTGGGTGTTTGGTATGACAGGCCTTGGATAAGATTAGATTTGAGAGTTTGACAGACAAGAGCAAGCTCGATGCCCAGCCTGAGCTCTTCATTCGGCTTGTACCCGACAAGGTCAACAAGACTCTTTCCATTATCGACAGTGGCATTGGAATGACAAAAGCAGGTAATGCATTAGTACCTTAGCACGTGTTCGGAGTTTCTAATGGTGTTTTCAAACGCTTGTTTTTAATTCGAATTATGCATGTGTTGTCTTTGTAGATTTGGTGAACAACTTGGGTACCATTGCGAGGTCCGGGACCAAGGAGTTCATGGAGGCGTTGCAGGCTGGCGCTGACGTCAGCATGATTGGTCAGTTCGGTGTTGGGTTCTACTCTGCGTACCTTGTTGCTGAGAAGGTCACTGTTACCACTAAGCACAACGATGATGAACAGTACATTTGGGAATCTCAAGCTGGTGGCTCCTTCACTGTTACCAGGGACACTGATGGAGAGCAACTAGGAAGGGGAACCAAGATCACCCTTTTCCTCAAGGAGGATCAGGTAGTCTTAATTAATATAACTCAACTCCAATTTGTTGAAAATTGAGTTTTTCATGCAATCCGTTAAGTTGTTTCGTACAGAAATTGGTTTTTTACTCGATCCATGTTGTTATTTAGATTATTTGGTTTTTTACTTGACCTGTTTTATTTTTTATTTTGGCAAACGGATTCTCTTTGTTAGTTGTTTCGATTTGAACTTTTGATTGAATTAGCGTCTTGAATTGTCAACAGTTGGAGTACTTGGAGGAGAGAAGGATCAAGGATCTTGTGAAGAAGCACTCTGAATTCATTAGCTACCCCATTTACCTTTGGACTGAGAAGACAACTGAGAAAGAGATCAGCGATGATGAAGATGATGAGCCCAAGAAAGATGAAGAAGGAGACGTTGAGGATGTTGATGAGGAGAAGGAGAAAGATGCTAAGAAAAAGAAGAAGATTAAGGAGGTTTCTCATGAGTGGCAACTCATCAATAAGCAGAAGCCAATCTGGCTGCGGAAGCCAGAAGAGATCACCAAGGAGGAATATGCATCTTTCTACAAGAGCCTGACCAATGATTGGGAAGACCACTTGGCTGTGAAGCATTTCTCTGTGGAGGGCCAGCTTGAATTCAAGGCCATTCTCTTTGTACCAAAAAGGGCACCCTTTGATTTGTTTGATACCAGGAAGAAAATGAACAACATCAAGCTTTATGTCAGGAGGGTGTTCATCATGGACAACTGTGAGGAACTCATACCTGAGTACCTTGGATTTGTGAAAGGTGTTGTTGATTCTGATGACTTGCCCCTCAACATCTCTCGTGAGATGCTTCAACAGAACAAGATCTTGAAGGTGATCAGGAAGAACCTTGTGAAGAAGTGTATTGAGATGTTCAATGAGATTGCAGAGAACAAGGAAGATTACAACAAGTTCTACGATGCTTTCTCGAAGAATTTGAAATTGGGTATCCACGAGGATAGCCAGAACAGGGCCAAGTTGGCTGATTTGCTCAGATACTACTCAACAAAGAGTGGAGATGAGTTAACAAGCTTGAAGGACTATGTTACCAGAATGAAAGAAGGCCAGAAAGACATTTACTACATCACTGGAGAGAGCAAAAAGGCTGTGGAGAACTCTCCATTCTTGGAGAGGCTCAAGAAGAAGGGTTATGAGGTGCTCTTCATGGTAGACGCCATTGATGAGTATGCTGTTGGACAATTGAAAGAATACGATGGCAAGAAATTGGTTTCAGCAACGAAGGAAGGATTGAAACTGGATGATGAGACAGAGGAAGAGAAAAAGAAGAAAGAGGAGAAAAAGAAGTCATTTGACGAACTCTGCAAGGTCATAAAGGACATCTTGGGAGACAAAGTGGAGAAGGTAGTTGTCTCTGACAGGATTGTTGATTCCCCATGCTGTTTGGTGACTGGTGAATATGGATGGACTGCAAACATGGAGAGGATCATGAAGGCTCAGGCTCTGAGAGACAACAGCATGAGCGGGTACATGTCTAGCAAGAAAACCATGGAGATCAACCCTGATAATGGTATTATGGAGGAGTTGAGGAAGAGGGCTGAAGCTGATAGGAATGATAAATCAGTGAAGGACCTTGTGTTGCTTCTCTTTGAGACAGCCCTCTTGACTTCAGGTTTTAGCCTTGATGATCCCAACACCTTTGCTGCAAGGATTCACAGAATGTTGAAGTTGGGTCTCAGCATTGATGAGGATCAGATTGGTGGAGAAGATGTTGACATGCCTCCATTGGAAGAGGATGGTGCTGAGGAGAGCAAGATGGAGGAAGTGGACTAAAGGCTCTTATGTTTGCTAATTGATAATGATGAGGGTGGTATTAATTAAGTCTGTCAAACTGTGGTCGATGCTCAACTTTTTTGTTTTTTCATTTTTTTAAGGACCGGGTTAGTTTTGTGATGTGAAAACGTGTTTGTGCTGTGGTTGTGCTGCATCTATCAATCTTATGATACTATAAATATACATTAATGTCAAATAGCATTTGTTCTCAACCTCCAACTCTGCCTTACTACTATTAGATTGGCGTTGCATGGACCAAATGTAGAATTTGTTATATGCAGATTTAGTTAGCTCAAAATATTTCCACACTTATTGTGTTTATGATATCCGTGTGGAGGCTTCTAAAATTTGAATTTGGATTCAGGTTTGTAATAATACGACTGAGTTTTTTAATTTCAAGCTAAATACTGGTAATAAATTTTCTTTTTGAATTAAATGGCGCGTTAAAGTTTATTAGACTGTGACTTGAGTACTTATGGGAAAATAAATTTATTTATTTTTAAGATGAAGTCTCCTGGGTCAACCCCCTCGCTCTTCCAATAATAGTTAGTAATAGCTAACAAAAATAATAATAAAATAATGAAATGATTTAAAATTTTACTTAATAAATTTTTTAATGAAATGTTAACTTTATTATTTTTTATAACTTAAATATAATAAATATTTTATTTTTCATAAACATTATTCGTATCTCAAGAATTGAGCTTAATAAAAATTTTATTGATATTATTATTGTGTGTTCTTAACTTGTAAAATTAATTTGTGTATGCCACATAAATCATGGACTTAACTTCTTTTACATTTTTTAACAATAAATTTGTTCAAATGTATTTTATTTTATATTATTCAAATAAATAATATTTATACAATAATTTATAATAATAATGTATAAATTATTTAATTACGTATGTATTATAATTTTATAGAAATACATTTAACTATATTATTTCGTATTTCATATAAATATTTTTAATGTTTATTTTATAAAACATATTTTTCTTACATTTTTTCATTTTAAAAAGTCCAGAAACATATTTTAAATTTACACAACGATTACCAACTATGATGTATAAATTATTTTATTACTTACAAATTATAAAATAGTTATTGTATTTAGCTGCCCCATCTCTATGCAATGTAAATTGCTTCTTATTTTCTTTTAGTTTTGAATTGATTTCAATTCCTTCATTAAGTTTTTTATATTTTAAACACCTTCGAAAAAAATTCTTAGACAAAGTCCTTGTGCTAAACCCACATAAGAGATGTTAGTTTTAAATGGGTCTTATAGGTTATTCTTCCAATAATAATCAATAACAACAGTAATAATAATAAATGAAATAACTAATATATAGCAATTTAAATTGTTGCCTTCCTTCTTATTATTGTTTGAATTGTTATCATCCGGTTTTCTTTTTTATAAATACTTTTAATTTTCAAATAATAAATTTACTCGAGTGTATTATATTTTAAATTATTTGAAGAAATATGATAACTATATATAAATTACACAATCATTTGTATAATATAATTTCATAAAGACGTCAGAGTAACTACGTTATCAAGTAAATTTTTATTTAATAAAACATTTTTATTTTAAATTCACATTAGAAGAATTAATTATGATGTATAAATAATTCAATTATTTATAAATATTTATTTATAAATTATGAAATCATAGAATTGTGTTTAGCTGTGCAATGTCTTTCGTAGTTTTAAATCGATTTCAATACCCTAACCTTTCTCATGTTTTTGTCCAATTTTTACGTTTCAAAATTACCTTTAAAAAATATTTCATCTTCAAGAATTACATTTCATTGTAGTTAAAGATACATAAAAGCAGAAATAAAAACCTTTTCGACCAATCAATTTTTTTCTTTTTCTTTTTATTTTAGAACATATTAAAAATATAAAAATGTTTTATAAGTTTATTTCTATTTTATGTAAATCATTTTATGAACGTCACAAGGACTTTGTCGAGCATGGGTCTATCTGCATTGATAAAGTTAATGTAAAGTGTTACTTGAAGGATTTTATAATTATAATTCCTTCATTAAGTTTTCTCCCTTCTTTTTTCCTTTTCTTATTGTGTCTTCCATCCATTTGGTACTCCAAACTGTGAGTGTAAATTTTTTTTCTAATTTGACTAGCGGTTTACAGAGTGGGAGAATAAACATTCTTGCTTCCAAATATTTGATGTTTGGATAAATTTAATACACAAATTAGGTGCTGTACAGACCTACACAAAACTAGGAAACAACTATACATTCTCACATTATTATTTTCTTTTATAATAGGTTGATTCATATATACAAGATAATATAATGAATGATGAGATGACGAGCAACAGCAATATAAAACTAGAGCAGGATCAAAAATTATCTGAGACTCTGATTCGAACCTCTCCGCTTGTTGCCTTTCCAACGCTAACTTACCACATCATGCAAGATAATAAAAACATGATTGCATTGAACTACCCCCACCCCATTTAAGTAGCACTCTTCAACTGCTCATCGTGCATGGGTCTCTCTGCATTGATATAGTTATTTGTCTCTGGTTCAACTTCATATGATGAAAGCAGCTTTCTCTGCATGAATTATGATGCATGCATTAGTAAAGAGGATTACCATCATATATCAGGTTCCTTATCCTTCCTTCTTTCCTTTAAAATACACAATCGGATGTCCTTTCAGCCAATATTCCACAAGTCATACAACTAACAGAATTTTCAAACTAAATAAATTAATATATCTATCATCTTAAACATATTGTGAGATATCTGCTTGTTTTAAACAGTAATGATAGTCAAAGAATGCATCCATCATACAAAAGAAGCATTATAGTCAAAACCTTCAAATGTAATAATAGCAAATATAAGATTTAGTTGAAGTATGGAGAGGATAGAAAATGTGTTAATAATTGATAATAGCCTCGAGTTTTATGTTTCTCGATGGAGCCCAGTTCAGGGACAACATAATGATACTGCATAGGATGAGAAATGTGCTTTGTATTTCACAAGGACCATGACAACATATAAAACATTGGTATCCAGAAAGCTATGAAAAAGAAACTAATGTTTTTCCTTGCCAAAAAATTTACAATTTTAGGAATTTTCAACCATTCAAGTAGTGAACAACGTTCAAAAAGGAGTTAATGAGTAACTGCTATTAATATCTGCTTCTATATTAAAAAAAATTAAGAATAATTCTGTCTGTACTTGTCTCTTGTTTCCTTCGATGATATGCAAAAGAAATTCATTAATAGGAGAGAAGGAAAAAGTACATAGGCCAGATGATAAGATGTCTTCCAACAGCACCAGTGAAAATCTTACTCCAAATAATACGGGCAGTAAAGTGAAACAAAAAGGAGATAACACTTCACCAAAATGGATTGTCATGGTGGTTCTACAGTGTAGGTAATCACCCATCATGACATACATCATATTTATAGCAATCCAAAGAACAGTGACTTGAATACTTACATGATCCTCAAAATCTGGACTAGTTAAATTGATAGACAGGTTTCTCATCAACAGTAGCACCTGAACATAGAAGGCCATAAATTTGTAAGTACTTTATAAACAAGCATATATTCATTTATACAGTTTTAGTTGTCACAAGTTAATTGTAAATAAGGTTTAAATAAAGCTTTAATGTAAACTAAAGGAGTAGCAATTAATTGTCTGAAGCAAATTAAAAACCAATTTGCCTAGAAGTATCTACAACACAATTCAAACTAGCTGAACTGAATAGCAAATATTGGACTGAAAGAAAATATGCATACCGTCTCAACATCTATACGGTCCATCTTTTTTAGTTTTTGCAGATGCTCAGCTGCACCTGGGTCAAATACACTGCCAATGAAGCTGTATACCTGAGTAAAATCTGGAAGAACTGCATGAAAATAAACCATTAAAATGTTAATTAAAATATCAAGACATAATAAATAAAAAAAAATCAACAATTCTATAAAGAGGACACTTGCATGACAGGAAAAAAAAAAGATTTTTTATAAGGAATGCTGTAAGTTTGTATGTGGGTCAAGGTGGGAGTTTGCAGAAAGCTCTTCAAACAGCTCTCAAGTCATGATGAATGTGAGGCAAAGAGTCATGACAACATTAAAATAGACTATCTCAACGATTTGATGGCCCCTTATCCAAATATTTGGATAGAGTAACTAGCATTTTTCACAACTTGAGTGAAGTCTTGCCTCTCGCTAACGCCATTAGTAAGCATATGCAAAATTATCACAAATTTATTATGTTATTGGCTTTGTACAGTTTGTCAGATTATTCCATTATTCTTGAGTGGGTTTGCTCATTGTACCTACCATGGACTCCACAATCCACATGGTCAGTCTTATTACAAGTACCAGCCAAATCCCCCTTTACTACGGATGTGTCTCCTGCTTTAACCAAGCTCTGGCACATTCCACTCAAAGTGGCAACCGTGCTCATTCTCACAAATTAGGGAAACCTCATTCTCATTTTAAGTGTGATTATTATCACAAGGAGAGAGACACAATTGACCAGTGTTATGTTTTGCATGATTACCATTTATTAATGGGTCTCGAACACAATCTCAAAATTTTGGCATTGTTTATCCACTTCCATCACTCTTTGCTTATAATATTCTCGAGTCTCCTTTTAATTTGTGGTCCATCAGTAGTCAAACTTTCTCTTTCGATTGAGTCACATATTTTACTAGAGACTATTTTTCTATAAGCCTAGAGTTTGGGATGGATGATTAGCACTGGATTAGTCACATGGACTTTATCAACTACATCCCTCTGCTCATGCTAGTTCAATAGTGGACTCTTCCTCTTATTCATGTTCTGTTGGGTCATCCCAATCTTTAGAAGTTATAGCTAATGGTGCCAACTGCCAAGTCTCTCCAAGCTACATCTACTTTAGCATTATACAAGATCTTTTTGTATTACACACACACACACACACACATGCATTCTTTCACTTTCCCCTCTGTCAACAAGTATCAATGAGAAAATATCAGCATTATACAAGATTTTTTTGTTTTATTTGTGGAGCACCATTGAATATAAATAAATCTAACAGATTATAATGTTCAGCCTTGCAGTTACAACAGTTCAAGTGAAAATTATGGAGTGAAGGACAATCATTATCATCTCCAAGATTGAAAATTAAGTTATTCAACCCCACATAATATAGTTTTTGGATATGCAACTGGCATATAGCACACACTGAAATATACATTATATGCCCCTGTCAGCACAAACTATGTTTATAAGGCACTCCACATACTTGCCAAGCATACATGTAACCATCAAAGAAAATCAACTTGAAATTCTAAAGTTTCCAATAAAACCTTGCCTCTTAATGGATGGTTTTTATTCCCTTGAACTTTAGATTCACCAACCGGCCACACTTTAGGAGTGCTTTCACTGCTACTACAAGGATTGTTCACTTTTGTCACTGCAAAAAAACATATAATGTTTCAAACACAAGAAAGTTGTTAGTATTCTTTATTTTTTTTTTTTTTTTATAATAAGTATCTTCAACAAACTATGTCAACTATTTTTCATGAACAAAATTCCAGGATAGGAACAGAAAATTGTAGCATTTAATACCAGGGGATAAATTGGCAGTTTGTGAGGTGTTGTTGGACCAGGACACCACAGTGTTCAAAATAGGCGTATTAAGCATTGGTAAGGAATCATTCTTCAGGATGTATCCAGGTTCAAGCAAAGCAGATGAAGATTGAAAAGATCCTGGTACTTGTGAGAGTACAGGAGCTGCCAAAAGTCAATTACAGATTATTAGATACAAATGCACTTCAAATGAGTCACCAAAAAAAAGGTGAAAGATTATGACCATTTTTGGAAGCTTTTTGAGGATATGGGTGGGCAGCTTTTCTTTTAGGCCTGGGTGGAGGAAGATGTTCACTTGTCCCACTCTTCTGAACTTTTAGAAAGTATTTCTGCGCATGGCTACGTATCTACAAAGTCAGTGGAAATTATCATTTTAGTGCTTAAACTGTATGGACATTACACTGAAACTTGAAAAAAAACAATAGGACAAGCCCCAACAAATCAAACAGTCATATATATATATATATATATATATGCATTCAGATTTTCAAGCTGGCTCAGCTGCAGACTGGTTTTAACCTAAATAACAACAACCAAACCTTTTCCAGCTAGGGTTCGCTGCACAGATCAATTATGCCATAATGTCCTGTTGTAAATCATGTCTAGCATAAAATATTACTCCCTGTTAACATTTTTTTTTCTTTCGCTAAACAAAAGGATCAGCATATCATCAAAAGCAATATGCATCATTTTGTAGCCTGTACCTAGAAGTTTAAAATTTTAGTGCAATTGGTTTTTTGTAGAAACTTCTATTATGCTTTGTCCATGTTTTGTTCTTACATGTGGAGGCATGTTAAATATTACAAAAACCATTCCTGGATCTGCACCAAACAGCTATGCTTTTAGGACTGTTGGTCCTTTCCCATTTTTTCAGAAAACAACAAACTATGATATGAACGATGGTTATAAACATCTAATAAGAGGATTAAAATTAAATGGTTAAAATGGTGTATATATTAACTTAGATCACAAAGTGACCACAATATGAGAGAACAAATATGGTTAACGTCAAAGCCAAATGTTTATGAAACAAACCCATTTGTTTGACCAGTGCTATTCAATAAAGTCATATATGTTTATGGAATAACTTCACAAGGCAACAGCTTGCATTGTATAGAGTGCACATGAAACTTACATTATATCTCAATTGAATTTCAAAATTGAAGCACCTTGCCTCAGAAAAACAGTGGGCTAAAATGAGATATCGGTTTAACAGTTTTTATTATAAAACCAATACAACTTATCTATTTTAATGGACCAGGAGGTCAACAAACCACTCTTACTATAGCAGTGGAGCACAATATGCCAGTGAGAAAGATATGGAAAAGATTTGGTGGAGGAGGTGTGGAGATGGGAGGGAGGAAAAGATTTATCTTCTGACATTTCATTTCCAACAAGATATCGTTCCATTGGCAAAATTTGAAAACTACATAACTAATCAACCAAATTCCAACATCATGGATTTTCTCGAACCAATTTATTTTTTAAGTAACCTTCACATGGAACATTTTACATGGAAGTGATTTTTTATCGGTGAATAGCCATTTTCATGCCCTGGCTCTGTTGACTTCCCTCCCAAAACATTGAGAGCAAAAACAAATTTAACAAGTATGTGACAAACTACAATGAAATATCCAGACTCAAAACAAGAAATATTAAAGATAATGGTGCCCACATCTGGCGCAGTCCATTTGGAATTACCTGTATAACAGTCTTTGATCCAACAAATGCTTCAATCTTTTTCCAGTCACGGTCAAACCTGGATACAAATATGAAGGAACAAAACAATGTGAGGATAATGGAAAATGCTTCAATCATTCTCGTGTTTTTAACTAATAATTACATAAATGACAACCCATTTTACTTAATATTTTTATTCTCAAGATTTGTGCATAAAATCTTTGAAAATGGAAAACAATATAAAAACAAGGTCACCTTTTATCCTCAGTAGACAAGAACTAAAACCAAAAAACATTTTATCATAACAAACGCGCCCTCAATTCACTATCTATTGACTGTGTTAATAGAGCATAAGAAACCAAACTTTACCCTATTCATTTACCATTTCCATTCCAACATCTCCACCCTCACACAAAACAAAGTCCAATTCCTCCGGCCCATTCAGAAAACCCTAAATCCCACAGAATTCAGCTCATGCAACATAGAAAACCAACGCTGAGCACTAAAATTCAACCAACCAATGTCTCAACCGAACACTATAATACTTCATTACTAAACTTCAGAACCATTCAAAAATCCAAATAAAAAAGAAAGGAGCAAAGATTACAGTTGAAGCGCTTCGAGGAACTTGTCGTGTTCGGGTTCGGTCCAGTTCTCCCTCGACTTGGTGATAGTGTAGGGCTTCCGGATCTTCTTGGCGGCTTCCTCCGACGAGTTCGTGGCGGAAGCCGCCGTGGCAGTGGCAGCGGCAGCGGAGACGGAGGCGAAGGGTGGCAACCCGGGCAGAGCCATACCAGTCGGATCCAAGTAGAAACCCTCGGGCGGGTTCGGGTTTTTGGATACCATTCAAAGATTTTAGAGAGAGAGCTAAATGCGGGTTTTGTGGCGAAACGTACGTCAATTTATACAAGAACAAAGGTTAGGTTTGCTGCTGCACTTGTGTTTTATTACAAATATAATTAAAAATTATATAATATTAAACCAGTTTTCTAACACGTAACAAACATTTTATATATTTTTTACAAAGCTCCGTCATCTTTACAGCTTTTTTTGAGGTTGGATTTTTTAGGATGTTTGTGGTTTAGGCATGTAGCCTAATTTTTATTTTTATTTTGGATTATAAGTCCCGTTTAATAAAAAAAAAATAATACTTACACTATTAATAATACTAAATAAATATTATAATTTTTAACAAAAATATTATTTAATAATTTCTTATTATGTTTTTTAATATGAAATAAAAAAGGAATTTAAATAGAATTACTTGGTACATTAAAATGTTCATACTGTTAATTAATTACAAATTGTGATATTAACAAAAATATAATAATTAATTTAAAAATTATATTTATTGCATATTCTAATAAGTGTAAAATTAAAATATTAAATTCTTTTACAAAATAATTTAATTATAAATTATTATATTATTAAAATTTATAATAATTAATTATTTTTCTAATTATAATAATTAATTTAAAAATTATATCTGTAGTATATATTAATTAGTGGTTAGTTTAATAATTAAATTTTAATAATTCATTAAGATTTAAGTTGCGTTAATATTTTTATATTTTTAATAAATTTTAATTAATAAAAAATTTTCAAAAAATATACGTTTTAGACTGTATATTTAACTCTCTTCTTGGTCTCATAAGACTCATAACTTAAAACATAATTCTAAACCTACTTAGGAAATATTCTTATAAATCTAATTATCTTGCAAATAAAAGTATTTTTATATCTTGAAGATATTAATTATTTTAAATTAATAAATATTAAGACGATGCTATAAAAGAATATAACATTACTCATAATTTTGATGTGCTAGTTAAACAAATTATATATAGTAAAAATTACATTATGTGTACATTAAAAAATAGGATTAAATAAATTACTATCTATATTATTTTTTATATGGTTATTTTTCAAAAATATTTTTACTTATTTAAATGTTTATAAAAATCTAATCATTATTTTTACTTAATTTTTAATACTTTAGATTTTTATTATAAATAAAAATATAAAAATATTTTAATTTTTGAAAAAAAATAATATACACATTATACTAGTTATATGGTATTATTCTCTTAATTAAAATTAAATTTGATTCGATTTGTTATTTATTGTTAAATTTATTATTTATTGATAATATACTATAGAATTGATTATTTATCAACAAATTTTGATATTCAGAGTAATATTGAATAAGCAAGTGTAATTTATAAAGGAAAATTTAATTATTTGAATAAATTTTGAGATTTATTTACTTATGAAAAAAATTTAAATTTGATATCTGTTAAAAGTTAATTGATACTGATTATAAATTATAAAAAAATTTATAAAATAAAAAATGATTAAATATAGTTTGATTATACTTATTAAGTCTATTTAGTAACATAAATTTAATATATATATATATATATATATATATATATATATATATAATATAAAGAGAGAAAGTAATGTTTAAATTTATTAACTTATAAGAAATAAACATTATAGATGACATAAACATCATATTTCTTATCTTTTCAATTTTGTTACATCAGTATAAGTTTAAAAACTCTTACACCTAATCTGAACTTTTTATTTAACTTAAATTTAATGGCTAGTGAAGTAATAAATTATAACCCGTTAGATTTAAGTTAAATGAAATGTTTAGATTGAATGTAAGAGTTTTTAGACTTACATCAGTGTAAGAAAATTCTACCCATATATATTGGATGAATAATCAATCAAAAATAAAATAAAAGTTGGAATTAGACCGAAATAAAGGCTAAATTATTTACATTCAGTTTCATCAATAAAATTTTTGTATCATTTAATAATTTCGTTATATATAAATAAAAGTTGCATATCTAAATTTTATAATATATTTCTTTAAATCTTTGTTTATCAATATAAGATTTTGTTAATTTAAGCCTTTGGAGGTAATTTTAAGTATTGAAAAAAAATTTAAAAATACATTTATCGTAATAAAGGTATATTTTTTAAAATTTGAGTTTCAAGATTTCATGTAAAAGTTTTGTTATTTATTTAATTACAATTTTTTTTTCCTAATTCTTGAGAGCTCTTAGCTCGGGTATCACTACCTTAAAATTGATGAACACCAATTTGATGATTTTTATAGTGTGGTAATGAACATGTTCTATGCTTGTATTGTATACTTATCTTTGCAAACTGATCTTGATTCTTTCTTATCCATCTCTTCTGATTTTGACCCTTCAAAGAAGTATTTTCCTCTTGATTGATTCTTTTGGTCATGTTTGTTTTGAGTTTAAAACTGTTCAAGGAGTTGCTTTAGGAGATGAGAGCAAATTGCTCACCGGTAAATACTTGATGTTGATTAAGCTGTTTAAATATATTTGTGTATAATGCATGTTAACTCTTTTATATAAAGGGCATTGTATGATTTTGTGTGTAATGCTTATCTGTATACTAAGCCTGGGATCTAGGTGTCGCATCTAAAGATGCAGCTCCTTAGGGAGACCCATTCCGAGACAACAAAAAGGCCAATAATTCTTAGCAACATTTTCCACTATCCTCCTTTTGAAACTGAACTTTAGAGCATCTTTTATGGGGTGGTGCAGCTTGTGATAAAGAAATGTATCATAGGGTTTGAACTGAGAGTGATTGCAAGAGACTGTATTTTTAAGTTTGAATGTGCAGTCTCATAAGTGATAGTGGCATATGCAAATGCAAAAGTAATTTTATTTCTTCTATCCTTCTTGCAATTTGTTTTATTTTTTGCATTTATATTTACAATTATTACAAAGGAGTAATTTAATAGATAATTTATGAATTTGATCCCACAAAGTGATGAGTTATCATAAATACTTTTAATTCAGTTTTAGATTGCATTGATACAATTTCAGATAATTCACACATGTTAAATTTATTACGTAATCTCAAAATGTTCGTTTACGTATTTTAAATTTTCAAGATTGAATTGAGAAGAATTTTAACAAATTAATTAGAGATGAGAATTGATTTTAAAGCCGGTTCAACAAATACATTCTTTAATTTGAATTAATGAATTAGATTAAAATTGATTTTAAAATCAAATGTCTAAAAATAGTTCAATCGCTTTAAGTTAATTCATTAATTTTTTTTATTTAATCTCTTGATTACATTCTTGCTTTCATTCAAGATCTTTTTAATTTTTAATATTTAATTTTTAGTGTTTGTAACTAAAATTCTAAAAGAAAATAACTTGTCTCTTACTTTATTGCATTTAGATTATCGGAACCATCCATCAGTTCTATTGTCATTTTGTTAATTAGGATTAGTTTAAATTTCATAATTAAGATTATATTTGATTTGATTAGTTTTATTTTTAAATAATTAAATTCGATTAAATTACATAAAGATTGTTTTGTTTTTCAAGATTAGATTAATTTTTATTAGGATTATATTATATTCATTTTTTATTAAAATTAAATCAGGTAAATTAGTTTCGATTAGATTAATTAAAAATATAAAATTTAAATTTTAAAAAATAAGAGTATATTTAATTTTTATTTTTAAAAATAAAATATATTTTAGAAACAAATTGTATTATATTATACTTTAAAAACAGAAAAACAGAAAACTGATTTTAAAATAGAATTTAAATATTCTCAAAATAATTTAAATTTTTAAAAAATATTGCTATTCTAACCACGTTTCCTTTATATACATAGTTTTCTAGTTCTAGAGTGATAAAAAGTGATTCAAGACTTTGTGCACACGATTGAGGTATAGTGTGAGTTATGGTCGTATATGTACATATCCCGATATCCATTTAGTTTTTCTTGTTAATTTGTGCAAACTGAAAAATATTTTTAGTTACATTATGTATAGAATATTACTAAAATTGTGAGAAATTTTTGTACAAATTAATAATAAAAGTATATATAATATTGGGTGAATAATCAGTTAAAGAATAAAATAAAAATTGGGATTAGATCGGAATCAAGGTCAGATCAATTGTATTGAGTTTCATCAATAAATTTATGTATCATTTAATAATTAATAGCCGTTGCAATCTATATATCTTTTTTTAAATCTTTGTTTATCAATATAAGATTTTGTCAATTTCAGTTTTTGAAGGTAATTTTAAGTATTTAAAAATTATTTTTTATTAAATAAAATTTTATCATCATCAGTCCTTTAAATATAATTCGAAAAGTTGACATTATATTCTCCACAAGTAAATTTTCACACTTCTTTTGTTTACTCTCGTCCCGCGTTTTAATAGGATCTTTTCTCTTCCTCTTCTACGACTCTGATTTCACAGGCTTTTTTGAACTGCGTGGTTGGTTTCGAAGGTTTCAGGTTCGAAACCAAACTAGGTAAGCTTTTTTTCTCTTCTTGACATTCGGTATTGTTCGGTTGGTGAACTTACGATGTGGTTGGTTACCGTTAGTTTCTTAATTCTGGGCTTTTGTTTTGTTTTGTTTTTTTTTTTTTTTTTCTTTAAAATTTTGAGTTTGAAGATTTTATGTAAGAGTTGTCTTATTTATTTAATTACATTTGATTTGTTTTCAAATTCTCGACCGCTGTTACCTTAAAATTGACAAAGCACTTGAAGTTGACGAAACACAGGTTCAATGATTTTTATCTGTCTGGTGAAACTATGGACATGTTTATGCTGGGAATTGTGAATGCTTACACTGTATACTTATTTTGGCTCAATGGCTGTATTTTATTTCTTCAAAGTTTGTTTTCTTCCTTGAATGTAACTTTATCTCCTTCCTCGATTTTTTTTTATTTTTTATTTTTATGTTAGCGGGAATAATTTTCAAGAAAGTGAATCTTTACGTTCAGATTTATGTGACCGTGGATATCTAATTTTCGGCTGTGATTGTGGATATCTAATAAATCTGATTGTAGATATCTAATTTTGGGATTGTGGATATCTAGTAAATCTGACTGTGGATATCTAATTTTCTGTTGTAGATATCTAATCTTCAGTTGTGATTGTGGATATCTAATTTTCGCTTTACTCTTTCAACTATTTATTGAATAAAATAATAAAATTTGGAAATGTTTAATCCGCTTTCATTGGATACTTTCTATAACTTTCGCTGGTCTTGTGTCTTCTATCTGTTAACTAGCCTTCTTCACTGATTTTATTCACTCTGTTCGTATAGAATTGAATTGCATCAACAAATCTCTTCAGGGATAGAAAAAGTGATTTGAAAATGGCGCGGCAAATGCATCATCCTCCTCGTTCTGAAAGTACTCGTACAAGAGACACTAACATCGCTCAGTCTAATCTTGACACAATGGTGTCACGTTCAGAGAATACAATGAACGTAGATTCCCATTATTTACTGGCTCACGACAATGTCATGATGCACGGAATTCACAGTCAATATGATCGTCATATGGGAGCTCCAGCTGCTGCCTCTACATATTGTCGTGACATGAATCCTTCGTCTAGTACTGCTGTGTCTCGAAATCCCAGAACCGCTGATCAGTTATTGTCAGGTTCAAGCACATTCACAGTCCCTGGAACATGCAAAAATTCTGTTGGAACCAGAGCAAATAATCAACATTTCAATGTTTGTTCTTCAACAGGTCCTCGTAATGCAAGACACGCGGAAAATGGAATTCCTTTGCCACCACGTTCTAGTTCGTGGAGAAGATCAGATGAGCCTCTTCTGGTGCATGACCATGGAATTCCTTTGCCACGGCATTCTAGTTCGTGGGTAAGATCAGATGAGCCTCTTATGGTGCATGAGCATGACCATGGAATTCCTTTGCCACGGCATTCTAGTTCGTGGGGAAGATCAGATGAGCCTCTTATGGTGCATGACCATGGAATTCCTTTGCCATCACATTCTAGTTCGTGGGGAAGATCAGATGAGCCTCTTATGATGCATGACTATGGAATTCCTTTGCCATCACATTCTAGTTCGTGGGGAAGATCAGATGAGCCTCTTATGGTGCATGATCATCATGGAATTCCTTTGCCACCGCATTCTAGTTCGTGGAGAATATCAGATGAGCCTCTTGTGGTGCATGACCATGGAATTCCTTTGCCACCAGATGAGTCTCTTATGGTGCATGACCATGGAATTCCTTTGCCACCGCATTCTGGTTCGTGGGGAAGATCAGATGATCCTCTTATGGTGCATGACCATGGAATTCCTTTGCCATCGCATTCTAGTTCGTGGAGAAGATCAGATGAGCCTCTTACGGTGTATGACCATAACCATTCAATTACAGGAAACTATTCAGGGCTGCACTTAAATCCACCTCCTCTCCCTAGATTGGCTCAACAGCTGAACAGCAATAATAATATTGGTCATTCTTTGGCTTGGAATCAGTCTCTTCCAATACTCTTTTTACAAGGTAAAGATGTTTTTCTTTCTCCATTTTTTGTTGTGTGATCTTTTTAGAGATGTGTTCATGTATATTAATTTACTTGGATGGTTTGTGAATGAATGAAGTGAATAATTTACAGTCACATGCATGTAAAAAGTTTTATTTAAACGTAACTAAGCTCCTTGCGTTAACCAAGCGATAATTTGTTGTTGAAGTCTACTGTACACCTGAAGTTTGAATAAACATATGGGTGTTTTATTCTTCCATGTATAATCTGCCTCCCACGATGTCAGTTGAATAGTACTCATTTTCTTTAAATACTTAACATAGTGAATGGATTAAGTGTTTCTGACTGTTTCCCTTAATATTCTCTAGTTCCCAATGCTAATGGACATTCATTAGAGAATACAAATATGGGTCTGCAGAGATATCAGGATACATCTAGCATCGGAAATGGTCTAAGATTTCCCTACCCTGCTCCGGTCAACCCGCACTATTGTACCTTTGATTATCAAATGCAGCCTGTGCAAGAGAGGAGAGGTCACTCCGTCAACTTGCATCCTCCTCCAGTAACTGCAGCTTCACGCAGAGTTCCAACAAATCCTTTAAGCAGTGCTCAAATTCCCATACAAAATGTGTCACGTGCTCAAAGGATGACTGCTCAAATTCTTCCTCCCAGGCTTCAAAACCTTCCTCCCAGACTTCAAACTCTTCCTCCCATGGTCTTTCTCCAAATTGAGGTAATATTTTCTGTTTCTCTTCGTAATTGCTTTTTGTACTTCATAGTTCCATAGGACTTTTTATGCAGATCATATCCTTCCTACTTATTTTTACTCATGCATATTGATTGTCTTGTCACAAATTTGGCAGGATATTGCTATGCTGGTTGACCATCACAGTGATATGCGCTTGGATACTGAGCACATGTCTTATGAGGTGAGTAGACATAAATCCGATGTTTTACTTTCTTATCAGAGTGAATTAGAATAATGAGATCTAGGATCCTAAAAATTTAGTGACTGGAAAACTTCAATTTGTTTACTCTTTGAATTTTACAACAGGAGCTTCTTGCATTGGGTGAGCAAATTGGCAATGGAAACACAGGTTTATCCGAGGAAACAATCACAAATCAAATCAAGACAAGAACTTATTTACTACCTATTAACTCAGAGGAGGCAGATTCTGATGAACAAGAGGCTGATATTTGCGTCATATGTCAGGTATAAATAATTGCATAATATTTGTTCCATAGGGTAATTTAATCCATTTCACCATTAATTGGAATGCTTGTATTGATTTCACAGGATGAATACAAGAACCAAGATACGATTGGAATTCTTCAATGTGGGCACGAATATCATTCAGATTGTATAAGGAATTGGTTGGTTGTGAAAAATGTCTGCCCCATATGCAAATCAGAAGCATTGACTCCTTTAGAAAAGGAGGGTGTATAAAAATCAATGCACTCTTCTTCGATACTATATTTTTTTGAACGTATTCATATTTTGCTACGTATATAAACTTGCACATATATTTGTTGGCATAAGAACATTGTATCTATCAAGTTGTACAAAACTTGTTGTGTAATGTAATAACATTGGTCATTTACATTGTTACTATTTTTTAATGCATGGTTGAATGTCCCGTGTTATGTATATATTGATACTTCTTTTCTTAAGATTTATGCTTTGTTTATTTTTTTAGTTCATCTGTATATTGAATGATAATAAATGAAAAAAATTGTTGACCACAAACGAAAGTTATTTTTTGTTATGTGCTAGTAACTTAGCTATTATATCTTCGTTTACGTGGTCTAATATGTTGAGTATAGTTTTATCCTTATAAAAATAGAGTTATGACTTATGGCTTAGTCATGACACAGAAAATAAATAATTGTGGCATTTTTTTATTTACATATATACAAGTTTATATTCAATAACCTATTTAAAAGTATTATTTTAACATAATTAAAAGACTTTACTATTAAGTAGGATTTTATAGTTTTCCTGTCTCTTAAAAAAAAAGTCAATGAGTAGTTATATCTAAAAAAGTTTTGTTGAAATTTTTCTTGGATAATGTTTCTACAAAGCCAAAAAATCAATTTGTGTTTTTTTTTCTATTTTCTTACAATAAAAGCAAATGTTATTTTTTATTAGTATGCAGGTAATGAGTATGTAGTGATATAAATAAAAATGTAAAAATATTATTATTTTTCTGCCATATAATATTAGAACTTAAAAGTAATGAATTTGACCATGATTAATGTTCTTGAATTTCAATTTTATATTTAAATAAGGTAAAATTTATGGTACAAAGTAACTAATAAAGTTTGATATTCTCTTTTATAGATGAAACGAGTTAATGGTTTAGTTTAAAAAGACATTAATATTTTCTCATTTTTAAAATATTAGAAAAATTATAATCACTAATATAAGAATAGTATAAAATATTTTCTCAAGTTTACGGATACCACAACAAATACTAAAGTAAAATTTATAGTACTTTGAGTAACTGAGAGGGTTTGGTATCCTCTTTTATTTGTGAAACATTCCTAACCATAAATTTTATATTGATATGTATAATAAAATTAGTAGTTTAATTTAAACAGACGCTAATGTCATCTCATTTTTAAAGTGAGGAATCACACCCGTTAATTTAAGAAGTCTATAAAAAATCCTCTCAACCTAAACCCTAAACTACATCAAACACCAATAAATAAATACTGGTGAAGTGGTATGAAGAACTAAATTTTCTCTCCTTATTCATTTTATGTAATCTTCCTTTGCTTGTTTAATAACATTTAAACTCACAATTAAGAATAATTTTATTATTATTGATTTAATTTTGCGTGAAAATTTTTATAAACCAAAAATCTAGTATCAAGTCATGCTGACAATTCAATTCATTTGTCTACAAATTATCCAATCTATTGATGCATAAATTCAACAACATATCTAATAATAAAAATAAAAGCTAATGAACGGGTTAAATTCATATATTGTTGAATGTACAATGAACTATTGAAAAAAATTAATACATTTTTAACATTTTTGACGAATTATAAATAGATTTATATTTATTTTAAATCCATTCATTAAATTTCAATTTAATTATTATTCAATGAATAACATCCGTAATACCAAGCAAGAGAATATTGTTCTTGTTAAGTTATGGAATATACCAACACTAAAGGACAACAAATAATATTAAAGCTAGGTGGGTTTATTGCTAACTAAAAATAAATCAAAGGAAGAATTCAAAAGACAATAAATATTACATTTTTATGGGAATAAACTTAGTAATTTTGTTACTTGATGCTTTTCAACGATGAATAAAATTTCATGAAGCATACAAAATTCAAGAAGAGGAACTCAACAAATTATTTTACGTAAATTCTCAAACATTAATTAGCTATAAATCAAAGCATAAAGAAAATTGAATATGAAAAATTATTTCCTTTAAAGACAAATAATATATTTTGAATTCTAATAAACCAAAAATGTGTTACTTTTATTTGTGAAAATTTTTTAGCTCAATCGTAAGCAAACACCTTAATCATAATTCTTCATAATCTCCATACCTCGACAGAGAAAACAACATGACAAAACCAGTTTCATCAAATGTTAGTTTTTTTTTTTTTTTTCCTGAGAAAAGACTAAAATTGGTTAAAAAGTAAGAGTTAAATAAGATAAAAATAATAAATATAAAAAATAATTCTTTAATGTGGTTTGGATTCATTTTCTGAAAATTTTCACAACTTTAATTTTGTACTAGAGCATAAACAACACATTCATTCATACAGTTCTTTGGTTTACTCTTTGGGTTCTTTGCTTAAGATACTTTTCTTTTATTTTGTCATCCCAATTTTGCGTGACAATCTTGGGATCATTCATACAGTTTTGGTCTATGCCGATTTGTGTACTTCATATTTTTTTTTAGAATTTAAAATAAACTAATTCAATTTATATTTATAATATATACCCTTTCGGGATCATGTTAATTATGTTTTTATAATTTAAAATACCTCCCCATGCGTACTTGTTGTTGCATATTAGATTCAAATTGTTGTTGTTCCTATTAGAGGTCTCGTTGACACATTCATTAAGACCAAAAATATCTATTAAAAATTATAAAAAAGTGTATATTACAGTTTTTCGTTAAAAAATGTTAGAAACTGGCTAATACTTTCGTAACACTAAAAAAATAAAAGTTTCGTTAACTTTAACAATTATATTAAATTGAAGTACTTATAAATGATAAATGTTATTAAAATATAATATTTGTTATATTTTTTTTAAAAATAAACAATTTCAACTGTGTTAAACCTTGAAGAGAGAGTTTTATGCTTGTAGTAATTTATTTGAATCAAATATGATGATTATTATTTTTAATAATGATAATTATTTTAAAATAAAAATTATTATTTGTAATTTTTTAAATATAACTTATCACTTTTAATTATTTATATTAAATTATCATTATTTTCATATATTAGATTTAATGGCACGTGTGAACTTGAGAACACCTAGTATACAATTTTTAGATTGACAAGTGTGATTCTTTTAATTTCTTAAAAATTATTATTTTTAAATAAATCATTAAACCCAATAATTGTTTCACTGAATTAAACTCTTAAATTTAAGAGTAGAAATTACCAGATTTAATCTGTAACATAAATATCCTTAAAAAACCTTTAAGAAGTGGAGTGGAGTAGAGCAGTTATTGAAGGACGCCAGTAATCACTCTTTTCTCGTAGGTTGTCTGTTTCAACTTTCAACTCAACACTCTCCTCAACCTATTCAGTTATATCTTCCTTCAAATTCTACTCACTCTTCCTCTTTCTTCTCCTTATTGTAGACATGTTTGGCATCTTCTTTGGGTGGTCAAAAGCTTCAAAATGGTAACTATGCTTTTCATGTTTGAGATTCTTTCTCGTCTAGCTATAAAACTACGTTTAACTTCAATCTTTTTATTCTTAATTATTGTTGCAGCAAGAGGGTGATCAAAAGAGCACGTTGCAGGCTTGTATTATTGAAGAATAAGAGGCAGGTAATAGCAACGCAACTGCGCAAAGACTTGGCTGAGCTAATGCAGAATGGCCATGATGAAACTGCTATTATGAGGGTATGTAAGTATGCTTCAGCTGCTTATGAATAACATGCATATCCATTCGTTATGTACACATTCATGTGCTTCTAAATCTTGTAGAGAGGACTTTGGTTCTTGGTTGTAGTATATACTGCACTGTAACTAATAATATTGCACATGCCTTTCATCATGTTCATAAAACCTTGTTTTCATCTACAATATCTACTAATTACTGATATTAGCTAGTAATCTAAAGTCACAGTATTCTGAATTATTAGTCACTAAATTTGTTATCTCATCCACTAGGATAAGGCGTTTGTTGTTGTGTCCATCAATGTTACTATTGAGCATAAGTAATTTCCAGTTTCAAGTCTTATATTCAGTTAATTCCATTATAATTTCAGGTTGAGCATCTCATTCAAGATGAAGGCCTAGTTGCTGCGTATGATTTGTTAGATCACTTCTTTGAAATTATCCTTAAGAAACTTTCATATATCCGAAGGCACAAGTATGGTTTCCTAGATACCTTCACAAATCAAAATAAATGTCATTGTCACACCCCTAATAAATTTTTTTATGCTTCAACTTGCCAAATCCAGGGACTGCCCACCTGATATTAACGAAGCAGTATCTAGTATCATATTCGCTTCTGCAAAATGTGGGGATTTCCCTGAGCTCTACATCATTAGGAAGCTCTTTGGACAGCGTTATGGTGAGGACTATGCAACTGCAGCTGTGGAGCTACTTCCTGGGAATCTTGTTAGCAGAAAGGTTTTTTACTTTATTGTGCAAAACAACTACAAGCAATTCCAGTTTTGTTAATGTATGTATACATATTCATGAAGTTTCAAAATCACAGTTAATAGAGAATATCTCAGTAATGTCTCTTACGGATGATCAGAAGTATAGAGTGGTTGATAACATAGCTTGGGAAAACAGCCTCCAACCAAAGGTTTATATATATAAGCTATTAAATACTAATTTTTTTAAGGGTCAATGTGATAATATATTGTGCTCTATCTTATTTACTAATACCAAATTTTTATGTTCAATAATGTTGTACAGGTGAAAGAACATGAAGGGAATCAATTAGGGGAAAGTAATGCCCAAATAAAGTACACAAATGCAGAATCTAAAATACTCCCTCCAGTAGTTCAAGAGATAGAAAGAGGTATCACATGTGTTGGTTCATCCATCTCAAAGCCAAGTGACTCTTTTTCTCTGCCAGAATCTACCTTAACTGAAACTTCTGCTTTAATGTGTTCTACCCAACAGTATCCCCCTTCCCCTTGCCTGGCATATTCCATGCAAAAGGAAATTGAAAAAGAATACTTTCCTGATTTGCAAAACAAAGAAGAAATAATGGCTTTGG